CGGTAAAAACAAGGGCTACGTCTGTTCTGCCTTCTCGGGATTGGATAGAGAAGCAAAGCGAATGGGTCTGGTGGTGAACGAGGACAAAACGAAGCATCTCCTGTCAGCACACAAACAGTCAGAGCATACGCGTCTTGGCACCCACGTCACTGTTGACAGTTACAAGTTTGAAAAAGTAGACGACTTCGTTTATTTGGGAACCAGCATTAACACCAATAATAATGTCAGCCTTGAAATCCAACGGAGAATCACTCTTGCCAACAAGTGCTACTTTGGGCTGAGTAGGCAATTGAGAAGTAAAGTCCTCTCTCGTCGTACAAAGATCACACTCTATAAGTCACTCATCGTGCCTGTGCTGGTGTATGGCGCGGAAGCATGGACAATGAAAGCATCTGATGAGGCGGCTCTTGGAGTTTTCGAGAGAAAGATTCTGCGAAAGATTTACGGACCTTTACGCGTTGGTGATGGCGAATATCGCAGACGATTTAACGATGAGCTGTATGAGCTTTACAACGATATAGACATAGTGCAGCGAATTAAAATTCAGCGGCTCCGCTGGCTTGGCCATGTCGTTCGGATGGACAGAAACGCTCCTGCTCTGAAAATATTCAACGCGGGCCGCGATGCTGGTAACAGAGGAAGAGAAAGGCCTCCTCTGCGTTGGAAAGACCAGGTGGAGAAGGACTTGGCTTCACTTGGCATTTTCAATTGGCGTCAGTTAGCACAGAAGAGAAATGACTGGCGTGCTGTTTTGGACTCGGCCAAAATCGCTTAGGCGATTACAGCGCCAAATAAGAAGAAGAAGAAGAAGAAGAAAAAAAATCTAAGTCCCACTACTTTTAGTGGGATTAGAAAAAAATAAGCCTCACTATATTCAATATTAGTGGTACTTGAAATTTAGTGCACTACGCCCATGTCTGGCTATCGCCCATCATAATCCAATCAATAATGCTATTACAACAGCTATGGCGGGAAGGCATAGAATGGGACGAATGCGTTAAACCACTCTCGTTACACAAATGGAATCAATTCCTGGTAGATTTACCAACCATTGAACAAATCCAAATACCTAGATGGACAGAATTCGCTCCCGATCGAAAAATCCAAATCCATGGATTCTGGGACGCATCCGAGAAAGCTTATGGCGCAGCGATTTATATTCGGACTCAGGCACACGAGAATCATGTAACTTCTCAGTTACTTTGCTCCAAATCTAAGGTAGCTCCGTTATAAACAATAAGCCTTCCACGCTTGGAGTTATGTGAAGCAGTTCTGTTATCCAAGGCAATAAAAACCGTTCTTTCGCAACTTCCTCTAGGGAAATATGAGCTGTTTCTTTGGTGTGATCAATAATGTCTCGTGGCTGGAAAAACCACCGTGTACGTGGAAAGTTTATGTCGCCAATCGAACAGCACAAATAATCCAAAACATGGAATCAAAACCCTGCGGACTTGGAAACTCTGGTGGGATGGGCCCAAATGGCTACTGAAAGACCAAAAGCACTGGCCAAAATCACTACATCTAAAAGTCATTCCTCCCGAGATTCAAAAAATTGAAACTCTTCACAGACCAATCTGACATCCTTAGTCGCTTTTTCTCATGGCCAAGGGCCGTTCGAGTCATCGCATACATATTTCGTTTCTTTAATCAAATCAAATCTCACCTAATACAGTGCACACCAGAACCTTCGTACGGAACCGTAGCACTCTCTCAAAACTAAATACAATTTGTAAAAACGCGACTAATCGTACTCGCTCAAAAACGTCATTATCCGGATGAATATTTAAAACTGGCGAACTGCCAACCAATCTCTAAACGGAGTTCGCTCCTTCCCTTGAGTCCGTAGCTGGGGAAACATGGCATTCTTAGAGTCAACGGACGCTTGGCAAACGCTCCGCTTTCGTACAACGAAAGGCACCCAATTATTCTACCTGAGTCATCAAGATTTTGCTACTTATTTCTCCAGTTCGTGCACACTTTGCTATTGCATGCAGAACATCAACTCATGATCCGAATGGCAAAACAGGAATTCTTTATCCCGAGACTTAAGTCCAAAGTTAAACAAATCATTTTCAGTTGCAAAATCTGTACAATTTCTAAACAAAAATGCGAACACAAATCATGGTAGCATTACCGCCAGAGAGATCTACTTGTTCTTTGACATTTACTCGAACAGGAATCGATTTTGCAGGTCCTTTCGACATCAAATCAGCGAACACTCGGAAGGCACCTTATATCAAGGGTTACATCTGCGTATTTGTCTGCTTTTCTACAAAAGTAATGCATTGCTCTGCTCCGATCTTTCTACCAAGGCATTCCAGGCGGCTTTCGCGCGATTTGTCGGTCGACGGGGCCTACCTCAGCTCATATTTGCAGACAACGGAAAGAACTTCGTAGGAGCAAGTCGATCCTTTCAAAAGGATTTCAAACAATTTCTAAAGGAAGTGCCGAATTAAATTCGTTCGAAGTATTCCATTCACGGGTTTGAATGGCACTTTATACCTCCAAACGCACCTCATATGAGCGGCTTATGGGAAGCTGCGGTGAAAAGTGTAAAGTTACATCTGAAAAGAATCGCTGGCAATATGCACTTCCTTTTTTCCCGTATTTAACCCTCGGCCTTTATCAATGTCAGATAATCCACAAGACCTAGTGGCGCTGACCCCCGGCCATTTTTTACGAGGTGCACCACTTCTCGCTACCCCAAAATCGGAAGCAAAAAACATCTCCCTTCAGAACCGCTGGGAAAAATTGAAATTGCTCCACCAGCACTTTAGTGTACGATGGAAGGAAGAATACCTGAAAGAACTTCACAAACGATATAAGTGGAAATCTCCACAAAAAGACCTTACCGTTAATGATTTTGTCGTCATTAAGAACGAATTAACACCACAGAACGAATGGCGTCTAGGAAGAATTGTAAAGGTCTACCTTGGCCCAGATGATAAAGTGCGTGTTACAGATGTTCAAACGCAACACGGCCTGTTCACCAGACCAATCGTAAAACTATGTCCTCTACCCATTCAGTCAGATGTCCCTAAGACACCACCCTGACAGCAACTTTCAATATCTGAATTTTGTTTTCTCCTAGCCATAAGTTTTCAAAAACCCAATACTAAAGCAAGTCTATTTTACAGAAGCTAAATGGTATGCCGCTGCAGCACGACGTCACCCCGTAGACGTAAACCAGTTCTGCATCTGCGCTTGGTCACAGGCACCAAGCACATCACACAGCAGCGTCGCTACTGAACCACACCGCCATCGCATAGACGTGAACAAGCTCTTCATCTTCGGCTAGCCCAAGGAAAAAAGAGTGCTACACGACGACGTCGCGATTCAATCACGCCTTCACCAAGTCCACGCGAATCAATTGAGCATCAGCGCGTACCTTCATGTAAGAATAGCAATAGACAACGACCTCGAAAGCTAACTCCGACTCTACTTCGACGGCGTGCACCAGCAACAAAGGCCTTGCACCACAGCGTCATGATCCAACCGTACATCTGTGCTTAGTTTGCCACCGCTATCACGCACTCAGATTTTGCAAGTTTTTCTTGGAGCTGACTGTAGAAGAACGCATCCGTTGCGTACGTAAATTCAACTACTGCTCGAATTGTCTAGCTAAAACACATCGCAAGACACAATGCACATCGCCCGACAACTGTTAAACCTGTGACCGACCACACCACTCGATACTACACTCGTTCAAAATACACCTCTGCTAAAGAGAACGCAGCCACCCTCTTTTTCGAACTTACGGCAGTTCGATGTGGCCATGCGACTGCTATAAATAGGAGCGCCGTATTGGTTCTCCCTCTCCTTCTCCTTTTTCGACCATACGGATTGGACCATCATCGATAAAGTATCACTTTAATCAACCGAAGGAATTTATCAACTTCATCATCGTGGAGTATTTACCACATACGTACATCATTTACTTTGCTAAGTATTAATTTGAATTATACATTTACATTTCAATTACTGTTTGAAACATCTTTATGTTATATTTATATTGAATTCTCATTCTTTGTACTATTGAACTTCAATATTGTCTCATTAAATTGCATATGAATTACATACATGCGTATTTGCATTATTATACAAATACTTGAGTGCTTTACATCCATTACTCTTGCACGTGTAGATCCGTACCTACACGTAATACATCTAACAGATTTGAGAAGCAGAGGCATCGCTCTTCCATGCCTCAACAATTTCCCTTCTCAATATCATTTCCAACGTGTCTAGAATCGCGGTGAGATTATGGTAACATGATTTGCTAATCAAATTTTCCGGTTACAAAACCATCGGTAACGTGCAGAATAGACCTGTTAATATTGTGTTTACGCTCTACCTGCTGATACTTACTGGAAATTTTGAGCATACTTAAGGTCAACAAATCTCGTATTTTAAAAAATAGGTTTTGAAATTTTTTTAAGTAAAGCCCATTATCTAACATAAACCATATAAATTCAAACTTTGTACACAAACTTGGAAAATCCTATAAAGATTTCATCTAAATTCCAAACTTTTTACTTAGAATTTCTTCATTTTTGTGCAATAAAGTGCAAGTTTGAACTTTCTGAAAAATCGCGTTGACTTTTGATGACATTTTTTTGCTAACGGTGTTAGCACTTTGTTCTATATAAAAAAAATGTACTTTGAATGGAAAAAATGCGTAATACCGCCAGCAAAATATAAAATTTTATGTTTTAAATCTGCATGCGAAAAAATTTCTAAGTTTGCCACGTAAACTGTTGTTGCCGTTTCCACTTTTTCATATGCCAACCCAACATTTTCAAGAAATTCTAATTAAAAAGCTTGGAATTAGATGACATTATTTTTCTAATCTTTGTACAAAGTTTGAAATTAGAAATTACATGGCTCTTGTTATCTTCTTCTTTTTTAGTTATACTTTTATAAAAATTAATGAACTTTCAAAAATAAAAGACAAATAGCTAAATAAAAGAATGTATGTACGAGTATTTATGTATATCTACCGAGTTCCTTGAAATATGGCGGCCGCGCTCCAATTGTGTGGTTCCGTTATAAAAAGAATTTGCTCCCAATTTCGTAACCTTGGAATAATCTTGAAAGCCTTTGGGACCTTTCCACTCCGGTATCGCTTCATTACGTCTCGTACTCCTTCATACATTTCACGAACTCTGCAAAAATTTAACAATTTTGAATCTTTAATTTAAAGGGCAACTAACTCTATCTTTCAAGGACAAACAAAATAGCATATCGAGCCATAACCACCAAAAAGACGAAAGTTCTGCGTGAATTTCATAAGATTTAAACATATAACCTCATGAAAATTCCTTGAATTTCGTCTGGAACATTTGTAGTTTCTTTACGGAATTTCAAACGATTTTTGAGGTATAATAGTGATATTTTAGGATCCAATAAGTAAATAGCTCGATTAGATACATCTAGTTAGTTAGTAAAGAACATCGCACACATTTTAATTTGCTTCAAGTCAACGTTTAGATTTAGATGCATTGCAACAGTTTTGTTTCGAAACATACAAACTTCATTACTTATTGTATCCATGGAGTAGAATGAATCCATCCACTCATAAATTACTAAGACATGGATGTGAGGTCTCTAGAAAATTCCCAATGCCTATAGCATTTTACTCCGAAGATTCAAGTGAGGCATGGCCCAAATTAATAGAAGAAACATGAAAGAGAGAGCTCGCCAGGAAAGCAGACAGCATAGAATTTTAGATGCATTTAATCAAGCTATTTACTTGTCGGATCCTAAAATATCACTATTATACCTAAAAAATCGTTTGAAATTCCGTAAAGAAACTACCAATGTTCCAGACGAAATTCAAGGAATTTTCATGAGGATATATGTTTAAATCTTATGAAATTCACGCAGAATTCATGTTATTACAGTTTATGAATTGATTTATGTTTTTCAGAGCTATTACAAAGCATGATGCTGATGGTGTTAAAAACGGAAGCATGGAAATATATTGTTGATTAAGATAATCCCCTATACTAACGTTATGTATATAGATCGTCACTAAGTTACTACGAACACACACATACACACTTCCACACAAACATACCCACGCACATACAAACACACACAAATGTACCCTGTAGGGAAACCCCGAACTGGTGAACCAAATTTGTAGTTCCGTACTAGATCTTTATCGCCAAAAACGAACCAGTCCGATAGTAACTAGATCGGCACCAGTTCAAAAGCGGCGATATGTGGTACTTTTAAAAAACAATTTTAGAAATCTATATCTAAAATGACGAATTTAGAACTGGTTCAAAACTATAGAAAAAGGGATGTAGAACGAACTAGATCTCATCTGGCGAATTTTGAACTAGTTCGAGACTGCTGAAAAAGGGATGCAGCGGGGGGCTTGTTTACTTTATATAGATTTTTGCTTGGCGGGTTTTTCGTTCAAATACGCTTTCAGTCTGCACGTCGCAGATGCTTTTTCATAGTTTGGTAATACAAAACTAATATTTGTGTTAACATCTTAACATTATGGGACCTTCTGGAATATAACCAATAACAGTCAGCACCTCTGCAAATTCAGCTACAGCCAAAGGTATGTAAACGTGTTTTCAAATGCAAAATTAAATTTACATTCATTCAAACAAATTTGATTTCAGATTGAAAATACATTTCTCTGCAAAAAATTTAAAATTGCTACCATGGTAACCCAAAAAGAAAACATCTTGTTACTTTTTTCGTTTACAACTTGTTCGAAACTATAGAAAATGGGGTGCAAAGCGAACTAGATCCCATATGTCGAATTTAGGACTGGTTCTGAACTATGGAAAAGGTAATGCAGTGGGGGACAATTTCCAATTCCTATGACATCGCTGTGTTAAATTCGCCAGTTGTTTGCATGCAAAAGAGATTTATCGCGAACTAGTAGTGGTTCTAAATGTACTAGAAGCGCCCCAGTTCAAAACTAGAGATTTTCCCCACAGGGTATGAATGTACATATATCTATACATACAAGGACAAATTTTTAATATATGTATATAGATGTGATATTGTGTAATTAAAAATATATAGATATGACCCACCACAGATATGTGCTTTTATATGTATGTATATCGCATAAAACGATTTAAAAAAACATTTAGCTATGTTTAAATCAGAAATTTTTTTGTTTTTTTGTTGACCATTGACCTCTGAATTCACGATAGGGAATTAATGTTTGACGAATCCAAACTGTTTGGCTCTTTACAGCAATACTTGGAGTATAAAATACTATTTCATTTAGGTCTCTATTAATTTTCGGTAGCTAGATATTTGCTTTTATATATAAATTTTTTTTGGTTGAACTTTGACCTTGGAAATTAAGGCTAACCCCCTTATTCTAGAACCCGAATTTTCGTAATTCGTAATTCGTAGCTTCGCTACGAAAAACGAAAAATTCATCTGCTGCAACCCTTGCGGAAACATGTGCAGCATTGCCAGCTATCAGTTGTTTTTCGAAGATAGCTGAATAAAGGAAAACAAAGTGGAAAGTAATTAAAGAAACCCTCATCATGTGCTTGTTTATTGTAAAATTAGTTAATTTTACATATTTTGAGGAAAATGATGGATTCTGATACATTTGCAATTATAGCAGCAGAGTAAGAGGGCGCTATGGCAATGGATTCACAAAGGTATGCGGAGCTGTCGGGCATATTAACCATCGGCGCATCTATGTCAGCTTCTGGTTGAATTGTTGAACCACAAGCCAGAATTTATCCTATGCCTGAAGCTCTGGTTCTCAATCCAGTTAATGCATTAACAGCTTCTTCCAAGCCATTGAAAACATGCACTTTACTAGGTCCACCACCTGTTGCGCCTGCTTCTGCCTTCGGCCGCGCTTAGGGATTATAACCCTTACTAAGTAGAATTCTCCTTTCTGTGTTGCGGGGAAGAGGGGCTTCCGCATGTCAATGGTATACAACATTTATTGTGCACATCACTCCGGCTACGCCATCCACAGTATTTTTGCGCAGAACCCACGTCGAAATTTGCAAAAAAGTGCATAGTGCAAACCGAGTTTATTAATAAGCTAGTGGTAAAAAATTTTAAACATTTATCCTAAATAAAATGTGAATCCTTCGATTACACGTGTATGTTAAAGTTTTTGGATTCGGGTTATGCGTTTGGACACAACAACCGAAAATATTTGTACTGTGTCCAAACGCATAATCCGAATCCAAAAACTTTAACATCACGTGTAATCAAAGGATTAAAATTTTATTTAAAATAAATGTTTCAAATTTCCGAGCACTATCATATTAATAAATTCGGTTTGCACTATGCACTTTTTTGCGAATTTCGACGTGGGTTCTGCGCAAAAATACTGTGGATAGCGTAGCCGGAGTGATGTGCACAAGAAGGTGACACGTAAGAAGATCAACGGAAATAAGGTCAACTGACTTTATTTCCCACCCTGGTGCGAAATTAAGTCAATTGACATTATTACCTTTTCAAAGGCGAAATAACAACAAAAATTTGGAACTAAAGTCATTGACGCTATTTCCTCATTCAAATGGAAATAGCGTCAACAATGCTTAAAGTATGTCGATTCATATAAAAAAATGTTGCACCAGGGTGGGAAATAAAGTCAATTGACCTTATTTCCGTTGATCTTATTACCTGTCACCGCACAAGAAGTGTTGTATACCTTTGTCATGCGAAAGCCCTTCTTCTCCGGCAACACAGAAAGGAGAATTCTACTTAGTAAGGGTTATAATCCCTAAGCGCGGCCGAAGGCAGAAGCAAGTGCAACAGGTGGTGGACCTAACAAAGTGCATGTCTTCAATGGCTTGGAAGAAGCTGTTATTGCATTAACTGGATTGAGAACCAGTTCTTCAAGCATAGGAGTAGTTCTGGCTTGTGGTTCAACAATTCAACTAGAAGCTGACATAGACGCGCACATGGTTACTATGCCCGACAGCTCCGCGTATCTTTGTGAAATCATTCCCATAGCGCGCTCTTACTCCGCTGCTATAATTGCAAATGCAATAGAATCCACCGTTTCCTTCAAAATATGTAAAATCAAAAAATTTTACTACAAATAAGCGCTTCATGAGTGTTTCTTTAATTCCTTTCCACATTGTTTTCCTTCATTCAGCTATCTTCGAAAAACAACTGATAACTGGCAATGCTGCACATGTTTCCGCAAGGGTTGCAGCATGTGGATTTTTCGTTTTTCATAGCGTACCTACGAATTACGAATTAAGAAAATTCGGGTTCTAGAATAAGGGGGTATGTCTCTATCTGGTTTGGATCGGTAGATATTTGATTTTGTCCATTTTTCCCCAAAACAGAACACAGCGCGCCGTCGAGATCGCGAGCGAAATATTGGTGTTGGCTTAGCGTTCATCACACACCGCACCGCAAGTACCAGTCTCTTTTATTTCTAAACAATAACTGATTGAAATGTCTGATTTGCGCAACTAAGTTCAAATTCGACATTCAACCGTGGAAATTGGAAATTTCCATCAATTATAGTTTGGAAAGAAAAAGGAGACTGCTGCTTTAGCTTGATGTAGTATTTCTGAACACAGGGATCGTCTTTTCGAAGCAGATATCGACGGCAGAGACACCATACCAGAATGTCAGGGTATTGCAATCCGGTCAGGCGATGTCGAGCTCGAAATATTTAACCTATATATACCTCCTGTCACCAACTGCAGGATATACTCTGAAATTGGTGCGCTGCTCAGAGGTGAAACCCGTAAGGTAGTTGATGACTTCATTGCGCACTACGATCTTTGGCATTCGAGCCTGTCGAACGATCGACAAAATTATGGCAGCTGCAACAGCCCACCTGACATAACAATTGTAAGCGCTGGTTTGGCAAACAGTCATTTCGTTCGATAAACCTGCTGAATTTTGCTTCCGCTTAACACCGAACCTGCGTAAACTTTAGGAAAGCTGATTGGGACGGCTTCGCGGAAGTTGCTGAAAGCACCTTCTCAGGTTTCTTTCTGCTGTTTTTGTTGTTGTAGCGCCTACAACAACCCCGCCCAGATCGGTTAGTATCTCAGTCGTTGTCGTCAAGCTCAACTAACGGAAGACCCAAGAAGCGTGCAGCCTCTATAGGGTCTGTCCACAAGGACAGAGGCGTTAGTTGCGTTGGGTTTTCCGGTCATACGGAAATGTTTCGAGTCGTGGG